TCTCGATTCAGAGACGGTCAACTTGGACATCAGAAATCGTATTGGAGATTTACAGCATATAGCAACCCTACTACCATACTACCAACCCCCCACAGATTTCACCAGTATGGACTGGAATGTACCGGAATAATACCCAAACTGACGACGTGACACGAGGCAAGAGGTTGCAATTGAAACAAGGACGTTGAATTACACCGTTTTTTGATCGACTAAAACGAGAGTAAGAAATTCCACGAAACAGAAACAGACATACAGGGAACAAGGAGTAAAGAGAGTAAGGAGAGAGGATAGGGTATTGTCTGTACAGCCATCCCAACACTTCAAGAGGTGGAGGCGAACTTCTGCTCGATAAACACATCCTCCGGCTTCAGTTCCTTCTTTCCATCTCCACTCTTGTCCTCAGCCGAAACCGCGGGCGTTCCTAACTCAAGATTAGAAGGGGTAGACATTCCATTAACTTTGGTCATCTTCAAAGGGTTTGGGGAGCCAAGCGGGGAGATATGAGCCGGCGTGCTCGGATCGTAAATGGGTTTCTCGCTTGGAATCCTTGGGGCTTCCACCGCTAAGCCCTTGCCTGGGCTTCGGGTGAGAGTTGGAGCGGAGGCTGCAGCGGCCGTGTCGGTTGCACTGAGAAGGGGTTGTTTGTCTTTCTCCGGGGTAACCTTGACCCAGTCATTCGTGGTACTGCTTGCAGTCGGGCTTGTGGCGTCGGGAGCTGAAACAGCGGAATAGCCTTCGGGATTCTTAGTCTGCCAGTTCCACAAATCGCGACACATTGTCTCCAAGTCCTGTGAGGCATGGAATCCGAGTTCCTTTTCCGCAAGGGCTGGATCTGCAGTAAGGTCAGGAACGTCGCCCAGTCTGAAACAACCAAAACATTGCGTCAGAAATCGTCGCTGACGGGAGCTGAGGAGGTAAAGGGACGTTTACCTTCTCTCGATAACGCGGGTCGTGAAGTCCTTCCCGGTTGCTCTCTTCATGGCATTAACGATATCGAACACGCTCTGACCCTTTCCGCGACCGAGATTGTACGCTTTGTAGTTCGCCCGATCGGGTAAGTTGGCAAACGCAACGTGATTGGTGTTCTCGAGGGCGTCCAGCGCGAGAAGATGGCCCGCGGCGAGGTCCATGACGTGAAGGTAGTCTCGGACACAGGTGCCGTCGCTAAAGGCCACTCATATGAGAAACAATGAGTCCGTCGGAATGTGAATTGACGTACTGGGTAGGATAGTCGTTTCCGAAGACCTTAAGCTCCGAATCCTTGACACGACCAATGGCCATTTGCGATAACAGGGGCAACAAGTTGCCCGGTCGGCCTTTCGGATCTTCGCCAATCCGACCCGATGGATGCGCGCCGGCAGGACTGCGATAGATCATGTATCAGAGTTTCGTTCAAGGCGTCAACCCCCATACAACTTACTTGAAATATCGCAAGGAAATCGTCCGCCACCTTTCAGGATCAGCTGGAGTCACGCGACGTGAGCGAGACGCTTCGACATTTGAACCAGGTGCTTACAATGGCATAGGTCTTGGAGAATGGTTTCGCTCATGACTTTGGTTCGGCCATAGACACTGTCGGCCTTCAAGGGGGTCGACTCTGGAATCGGAATGATGGGTGGGGTGCCGTAAACGGTCGCAGACGACGAGTAGACAAGCTTGGTGCAATCGTATTCGCTCATCGTCTGCGCCAAAAGGACGGTAGCGCTGACGTTGTTGGCATAGTAGGCGAGAGGAATCTCGGACGATTCTCCGACGGCTTTGTATGCCTGCGATGAAAAACAACCGATACCGTTCTAAGCATTGACCAATTGCGTAAAAGTTGCATTCACACTAACCGCAACGTGAATCACACCCCATATGCCCCCCTTTCCATACTTTTCGAATACACGGCGGACATCCTCCGGCTTTGTCAGGTCGCCGGTGAAAACGTCGACTTCTGCGCTGTCTCGATCCTGATCCGATGCATCTGCCGGTAGTTCGCCCTTGGCTATTTCAGATGCGCGCTTGAGGGCTTCGGGATAAGAGTTGTGACTGTTGTCGATCGAAAGAACCTTGTATCGGCGCGTTAGGAGGAGTGTGAGGACTATGTGCGAGCCTGTGAGTAGATTGCGGGGTGGGTCAGAATCGGAGCGCGCAGCAGGATCCCGCGACATCGTTAATCGTTAGCCTAGAGCACTTCCAAATGACTCGAGAGTTGTTCATTCTCACCGATGTATCCTGCGCCGCCGGTTACGAGGACACGCTGCGAGCAGAAGTAGGGTTAGCTGTTGGCCAAACCTGAAATGAGTTGGAGTTGCCAAAGGGTATGGCTTCGATACTCCTGCACGATGTTGGGACCTGCTGAAGATTCTGGACTTACCCGTAGACCTTCACTTGCCATTATAAATAGTTAGTTGGAGGTTGGAGGAGTGATTTGGTGGTATAGGGGCGGTTCAGTCTATTCTAATATTGAGGCTTGCTATCCTTCTTGACTGCGATCGAGCACAAAACGGTTCAGGTGGTAGTTGTGCAGTTGTGCGGTGGATATGGATTGCCCAGTGTGTTGCGGGTTCGTCGACGCGGTTGAAGGGAACAGGGATGAAGGGAAAAGGCGAGGTCTCGGGGCGAGTGAGAATCGGGGCGTCAGTCTAAAGAAAAAGTCGCCCACGTGACGTACCATGCCAGAAATACACACCCGCGAGCTCAACCTCGACCACGCCTAGAGTCCCTCGTACGGAGACCCACAGAAGTGCTTCGGTCATATCATGATGGCTCAGTGAACCGTCTTGTGCTGAAATTCAAAAAGTCTGTGCCTGCTTGGCTTGTCGCGAGTCCGATGGCTCTCTTTGACCCGACCGGATCGATACTGCTGCAAGCCGGCACGTTACGGTAAACCGATGCGGTCTTCCTGAGCGACCCGCGCGTGTCCCGCGCTCGGCGGAAAAGTCAAAAGCGAAGTTGTACACAATTCTCCCCCAGCGACTCGATCGTATCCTTTCTTCAGCGGGGGCAAGGTCCGATTTACCGATGACCTTCCGCCCATCATATCGGCTAGTGTTCCCCACTGCCTACCTCGCGATCACTCCATTCTATTACGCAAACCTGATCTTTCTTGAAAGCCTCAAGGCTTATTTTATCCTGGAAGAGGTTTTCTCCCACGAATCCTCGCCCCATTCAGGGTTACACAGAGACACCCCCGTGGTTTATAAAAGGAGACCTGCCCTCCGTATCTGCGATAGCTCCCTCCCTCTCATCCCTCAGCATTCGACACCCCCACATTTGAAACGATGTCCAGTTCTCCCGATGCTATCAGCGGTAAGATCATCGTCCACGTCCGGGTAAGCAGCTTCGTCCGCCGGTAGCTGAAAACACGACGCTAATTCGAAGGCAACACTCCTCTGTGGAAACAGATGAAGGCCAAACCAGGTCGAGCAGATGAACTCGTCCAAGCGTTGCTCAAAGTAAAAGGCAGCGTTGAGTCGGAGGCCGAGCCAGACGGCATCTCCTTCCGTGTCGCCCAATTTGAAGATGAAATTCTACTCTTCGAAGAGTACGTCCGTCTTGATTCTTTCCCCAGATCCGACACTTCACTTACCCACATGTGATTGCAATTTTACTTCGAACCAGATATCAGAGCTCTGCCGCATTAGGCCCGTAAGGAATCATCTGACCTCGTATAGATTGACGTGCAGCCTGTGTAGATTGACTCCTCCCTTCGCTTCCCCGACAGCCATTCATCGACGGAAGTATTCAAAGAGCTGCAAAAGGTCGGCGCCGAATGTCGTGATGGAGTGAGCAACTTACAACCGCCACTCAGGGATTTGTGGCTGACGGTGTTGTTTTGTCAACAGGATCCACAAGTCCTATTTTACCAAGAGGTCGGTGTCTAAGCAGACGCCATCCTCTTCACAGTATGCTCGGAGCCTGACGTCGGAAATGCTTCGTCGTGCATCTAGGCGCCTCGCACGAAATCCATCGGTTCGGCTAGCAGACTGTAGTGTCTCCGTTCTTTGGGTTTAATTGGTGCAGGGTGTACGAATAACAAATTCAATTTATCATGGCTTAATTCGAAGAAAGCGGCTCTAACACAAGCAAGGCCTGAAACAGCCCGAAAGCGATTAACGAGAAGCTCGACCCTTTTTGATTTATCTACGGGGATCCCGGAATGAGGGGCTCCCGCGAGGTGGTTTTTTTGACTCACCGCGTGTGGTCCGGTCTATCTCCCTTTCCCGGAAAGACTCCCAATTTCCTTCGGGAAAGGGACAGCAATTTAGGAACCTTATGTATTGGTCTGAGGGAGATTATGGGGGTGCCCAATACCCTCGTATGGCATGTATTCGGGGCTTGTCTGCGTCGTTCATGGTAATACCACGGCACGCATGACCGACGCCAGGGAGAACATGAAGGGGCATCTGCTGCTTTGAATGACAAATATTACGGTCTCGGTGTGCTTTCCAGTCTCTTTTATGTATTACTTGCTAACCTTTCGACGTCTCGATGGGGGGAACGGCAACGAAGATGAAAGAGACGACTGGGCCTGGTTGTCGCACCAGTTACTATAAGCTCCGACACAGGATGAAATGAGGAGGGACAAGAAGAAGCTCTGTTTACTCGCTATAGGATCAGGAGCACACGAAGAACCTGCCGTGAAGAACTTGGCGACCTTGCCGTATGGCTTTACTGAGGCCTTTATATCAACACAACGCCTGAAGCCGTTGAGCCCCTGTGGAGAGGACCTCCCACCAGCATGACTTCCACACGCTGTCGTCCAAAACGATGCGCCCAAAGGTGTAGAGCCGGTGCTACTCGAATGCAATAATTCGGACATTCTTTCCGCCTTCGAGATAGTTTGCCCGTTTCAAAGTGCCGACACCACATCCATTCCAGCACCTGCTAGTAGATGCTCGGTATGATACGAATCGTATAGGTTATATTTGTTAAGGTGGAAGCAAAAGGAAGGAGGGGGACGTGAATTTGCAGTTTTCTTTCAGGTACATTGATTGCGTTTTCCCCAGCTAAAGGCCTCCTTGGCTCAGTGGCTAGAGCGTGTCTTTCCTATCATGTTGGGGTCAAACCCAGCTATTCTGGATTAGGACGAGGTCGCGGGTTCGACCCCCGCAGGAGGTTCTTTTTACTGCTACGTAAGTCTTTTATTAAGTTGGGGGCTTGTTCAGAGGGCAGAGAAGCGCCCAGCCCCTATCTTCCCCAATGTTCAGGAATCTCAGCCTTTGCTCTTTTGATGTTCAATTTGGCTCTAAAATGGACTGAGTTATGGAGGTAGCGTGCCTTCGCGTTTGGCACCTCAGCTGAGGGACGAGTTCGGAGCGTTCTTTCAAAGGGTGCCAGTCCGCGCCTGACCTTGTTCTGACGGACGGACATCCAGGGGCCTCTACAAGATAGACCGGAGCCTCGCTCCCCTCTCCCGATAAAGATATATATTTTACATAGTATCCTCGAATACTAGGTCCAGCGTCGTGACTTTGGGCAAGTGGAGGGCAAAGATCCACTCTGGTTCTCTCGTTCGCTCTCCCCCAATAGCCAAAACATACCCTGATGCTCAGCAAAATCCGTGGAAATCTGTTAGATTACCGTGTAGTAGTAGTGCGAGATGATATAGTTTTCAGTTGAATAGGTTTCCTCATTCAGTTCCTAGCTTTGAAGGGCGGGCGCCAAGAGAGGGTTGCAGCCTCACTGCGGCCAGATTCACCCGGAGGTCTTAAAATCCCATAGTCCATCTGTAACTGAACTAGCGTATTAAGTCGAAATAAAGCAACAAGTATCCACTCTGTGGTGGTTTACACGGACCCTCAGTGGAACACTAGCTAACCCGTGCAACGCATAAAGGATCAAAATACAGACATTGACCAAAGCTGAAGCCTATCCAGAATTCGAATGAAAAGAGATATGAAGTAGAGGGAAAACAAGGCAAACGTCATGGATAAATGTGTCTCCGGTAGCAATAGACCGTGGGGACCATAGCTAGAACGTTTGGGATGTGGTTCTGACATGCTACTGAGGGAACCCGAATGTAATTACAAAAAGCCAGGATGACCGATCAACGTTCCTCCATTTTCTCGCAGAAATTTCCCGATTTCCAGCATCAAATCCCCATCAAGTGCCGAGTCGGTGTCGAAGCTTCGAATTTCGAGTTCGCTGATCGCCTGAGGCCCGATCACCCCATCAGAGCCGGTCCCACGTGCCCGGGCCCGCAGCATGTGCAATATTCGAGCGAGATCGACATCACTTGCGGCAAGGCCCGTCAAGTAGGGTAAAGGCCATGCACCTCCTCTCGCGAGAGCCGAGTCCGGACTCGAGAGGTAATGGACTATCGATGATCCTCCGTGCTCCACGAGGCGTATATCCAGCTTTGTAATGCGAGGATTCGGGTGACTGGAGACTAGGGAAACAAGGTGCTCCTTGGAGAAGACCGGTAGTTCAACAGTCAACTCTATTTCAGTATCTCTTCCCGGAATGTTATTCATCATCCACTTTGCTATTGGAAGAGCTCCAGATCCCGCGAAAAAAAGGAGCTTGGCGAGGGAAGTTTCACCGTGGACTTGCAGGTGTTTCGTAACCCGGATAGTGACGCGCTCTCCTTCCTCCATGTTTGAGCGTATGGTTGGAATAAAGTGATAGACTCCCATTTCGAGTTCGGCTGGAATATCTAGTGGGATGCCCTCCCGGAATATCTCCCCAACCACCTTTAGGTTTCGGCAAACTGGAGCCCTCAGGCAGCTTGCGATGTCCACCACTCCTACTAGACCGCCCCCTTCAATAGTGAGCGAGCTCAACGCATGAAGAGTTATTGGTTGCTGGGAAGGACCATCAATGCTGTCACCGTATGGATGTTGGAGAGGACCCAAAGTTAGTTCTTCTAACTCGGGTAGATTCTGGAGAACGGGGAGGAGCTCCGCCAACGATGGCCCACAGACTCCGTTGGAAGTCACTGCCAGGGCGCGCAAATTCCTGAATTGGTTCTCATCCCAGCGAGTAGCGATCCTGTAAATATCCAACTCCTTGAGTCTCTGGGACGGTACTCCTTGAAAGAGTGTGAGGGTGACGTCGGTCCAGAGAGTCACTCGAAGCCTAAACGTCTCCAGACGAGGCGCTGTTCTGAGTGCCAGGTCTTCTAGAAGGCCTTCGGGGATCCATAATACGATGATACTCGCATGCTGCCATCGGTCTATGTGAGCGCAGACCGCTCGGAGAGACTCCCCCACTTCCGTGATGCTCCGACGTCCACCAGTGAAGTCATAGCGTATATCTAGCGAGGCATCTTTGGACTTTTCCAGTGCCCTGACAACGGCACGAAGGGGATCATCCCCAGTGACTCTGCTCCAGAGCAACGGAGTGCCCTCGGCCACTGCTCGCCAGTGGGAAGAGACGGTGCTGAGTTCTTGGACTCGGTTTAAACTGGGACTGAGGTCCTGAATGGATACGTAAAGGATGGCTGAAAGGAGTTCATTTGGTAAATTTTGGATGCTGGTTGTGGCTTTGCCATACGTTCGAAGTTCGGAGTGAGGCTCCATGCCAAACGTCCGGCAACGTGCAGACTACATAGCCGAGATGAGACAAGGAGTCCATGCGTACATCATTACCGTATTCATACCTTCTTTAGGCTGGTGATCGTCTGGGAGCGGACAACTCCCCGAACCGAGTCGTTCTGACTACGATTATCTCTGTTGATGTCCGTTTTAACACCGAGTTGTCACACTGGCTGGCAAGTCTTTCGGACAAACAGACTACTTCGGTGCGTACCGAGTCGCTAACAAGGTAATTTAAGCGGGTAGAGGGACAAACATGTATTTGTCGAGCAGAAAAGGGAAGGGCTAGCTAGGTCTGGGGGATCTAAACGCAGTAGTAAATCGTCTGGCAGGTGATCCCGCGGCCACTCCCATCTGGACCCGGAGGGCCCCAGGAAAAGAGTTGGCGACCGTTGTCCTAGAATGTCCATACGTTCACGTCATTAGAACTCTCACATATCTACGCCATCTCAACCTCGAAGGCATACCTTGTAGCAATTGAACTTTTTGCCATCCGTATTGCGCTGGGCCCATCCGGCATAGGCGGTAAACTGTCGGGTTCCAGCGTCGCTGTCAATGTGCGTCGAGAGTGTAGCAGCAGATTCTTTGAAGTAGAGGTCTTGCGGTTGTCCTTCCCAGTGAAGGTAGTCGCCTGACGAATAAGAGAGATGGATTAGCTGGTGGGGTCGTATCCGGCTTCAAAGTGGGTTCACCTCCCGCATCCCAGTTCCGGTATTCGTTGGAAAGCGAGTTGGGGCTCTGTGGGTTAAGAGTGGCATAAAGATTTGTCAGTGAATTCCATCCAGATTAAGAAACGCGAACATTGGACTTACATCATGCCCGCTCTGAGAGAAGTCGACATTCGAGTACCACGCAGCGTAGGATGCGGTATAAGACGACTTCCCGTCGGATCGCTGACAATTGGCAAGGTAGCTGACTTCGCCACCTCTCTTGACGAGAGTCTCATCGCGAGACGCGATCTCGGGAATGGCGACGGCAGCAATGAAAGAAGGAAGAAGAGAAAGTGTTGTGAGAGAAAGAGTGGAGAGCTTCATTGTGTTTTCTTCGTTGGAAAGGTATTTAGAGAAGGATGTGAGTGAAGGACTGTGGGTATGCGAGGTGAAATGCGCTGAATGATGTTGAACAGGCTGCCCAGCCTGCCATTCTCTTATATAGCTAGAGTATTTGAGGTTTTATTATTTAGATATATTGACCTAGCAGTTGAAAATATTAATTTTGAGGATACCTTTCTGCGTTGGTGGTGCTTCTCTAGCCTATGCCGCTTGCTGTGCTCTAAGCGCTCATCGCAAGGAAATGCGACTACCACATAGGACACACGTCAGCGCGGATCCCATCCAATTTTAGGCAGCCTTCAAAGGCCTCGCGCGTGACCCGGACCCGGAGATTGCATATGCGCGGACTGCTGAGTCGATGGTGGACTTAAAACGCATAGGCAGCTGGGGTTTGTTTCCAAATTCAGCAGTGTGGTTACCGGCATAAAGAATAGTCTTGACATAGTTGCAGCTCAAGGAATCATGCTCTGAGGGGAGAGAATGTACAAGGAGCTTTGCTCCGGTATTGTTGATTTACTTTTGGACCAAGAGCGATGCGTTGTGTGACAGGCAGATCTGAGGGAGTCTGGACGGGTACTTTTTCTAGCTCCGTTGTACGATGAACTTCAATTCCAGCTGAAGTCTGTTGAAACAAATCATAATTGTAATCAGGTCGGCATTGTGAGATGAAGATCATGGCTGGTGGCCAGACCCGCGGATTCAATTTCCGACACCTATTCTCCGGTCCCTCCGAACGGTAAATGCCGCAAGGCCCTGAGAGGCTGAACCTACACCACCCCAACCCCTTCGCGTACTTGAAACAGATCTCGTCCATTCCAAAAAAAATAAAAGTAATGACGGTATTTCATCCCACCGGATGGTCCGTTGTTGGTGTCGGAGATTGTATTTGTGGTCAGGCCACGAACTATGATCCTCACTATGCCAACTTGACGATCATTTTATTTGAATTCCGCTGGAGTTGAAGCTACTGGTACAGTGGAGCTTGGAAGGTACCCATCCTGACTCTCTGCAGTCGACGCATTGCTCAACTTCCAAACGTTGGTCAACAGTCCGGGAGCAATACCTTTGAACCTTCTGTCGCATCTGCATGCGGTTGCTTAAGCCCAAACTATGCCAAGACAATTCTTATGCCGGTAACCACAGTCCTATATCTGGGAACAACCATCCGCCTGTCAATGCGTCGTCAGGCCACCATCAACCCAAGCGGTCCGCGCATGTGCAATCCCCGGCTCGGGCTCATGGGCAAGCCTGTCGAACGGCGCCTAAACCTGAGTCAGATCCACACCCACCTATGTTCGATTTGGAAGTCGTACATCCTTGAGATGGGCGCTTAGAGAGTACGCGAGCGGCATAGGCTAGAGAAGCACCACCAACGCAGAAGGGTATAGTCAAAATTCATGTTTTCAATTGCTAGAGCAACTAACTTACCCAATACAACGTTAAATACTCTCAGTATATAAGACGATGGCAGCCTGGACAGACAGCTCAACATAACTCAGCGAATTTCACCCCGCCTACCCACAGTCCTTCC